TCTCTCGTCTTCTCTCTCTCTCTCTCTCTCTCTCTCTCTCTCTCTCTCTCTCTCTCTCTTTTTATTCTTTTCGCGGTTCTTTCTTGCCCATCTTGAGACTACGTGTCTCTCGAAATTCGTTGGCGTAGGTTCTGCCGTTGTCTAGCGTATATGCGACACGGGGTTTTGATTACCGACGTCACCGTCTGTATCGTGCTATCTGATACTACTAGCGCGGAGGGAATCGCGCGTTATGAGACAAGTGTCGGTTGCTCCAAGGAGTTCGAATGTGTTTCCATCCCTCCGCTGCCTTTCTTTTCTCGAGAAAATTGACCCGACAAATTCTAATATTCTATTATACGAGATACGCAAATATTGATCTTCCAAACTTAAAAGTGGTTAAATTTTAATTATCAATTTAACAATTTCTTTGTGTGTGTGTGTAAAACAGCACAAAATATGCACAAACATTTGGCGCTTTTTTAATTCTTTTTTATTCTTTTCTTTTAATTTGGACATTATATAGATCAAACATTATATACATAATGTTGTTTACAATACAAATGTAAACTTATTACATTTCTATATAAATTATGTTATATTTAAATCAATCCAAGTTAGTATTTTTCTTAGGATATTTTATTCAGTATATTTAAATTACACATTTTTGATGAGGTTTAATTTTAATTTTTTTTATTATATATGTTTTATAAGAGTATGTAGTATAATAAAACATTTATTTATTATTTTATAAATGTTTAAAAAACTGAAAAGTCAAATTAAAAAAAAAAGTAATAACCGTTTTTTTTAAATATATAATTGTTAAAATATTTAAATACACAATTGTTAGTTATTTGGCGCTTTTTTTATCATTATAAGTATTATTAGATTGTGAATTTCTAAAAAAAATATTTTTTTTACAAACAATTCACATATGTGTGCATAGTCCAGACAATTTAAAAAAATGCATTTACGGAACAAACTGCATACGTATATACAATTTATATACATATATATACATACATTATATATATATATATAAATATATATTTATATGTATGTAATATATGTATATGTATACATTCAAACATATACATATTATATACAAATATAATGTAATATGTACCATTATACATATTATATTATATTTAAGCTAATAATGTAATGTAATTAAAATAATATTTGCGTATGAGTTAGATTTTTAAATACTTTTGATGTTATTTTGCGGCAAAATATATTTATATACATAAATATATGACTATAAAAAGAAACGCAAGCATATATACTAAATTATTTTTCTAATATCAATTTTAGTTTTCTTAAATCTATTATTGAACAATGTCTGTTCTTGTCAAAATTTTTTTTATATTAAAATGACATTTGTAGACAGTAATTTAAATTTAAATGTGTCACAGAAAAATTGATTTTGTTTTTAAATACAAATGCCAAAATTTACATTTTTAATTAAGTTATTGATTTTTATTATTTTATAAATGTTTAAAAAACTAAAAAGTCAAAATAAAAAAAAAAAGTAATATCTATTTTCTTAAAACATATAATTGTTAAAATATTTTAACACACAATTGTTAGTTAATAGCTTTTTTTATTATTATAGGTATCATTAAATCGTAAATTTCTAAAAAAAATATTTTTTTAATAAACAATTTACATATGATAAAGAGTAGCATAGTGTGCATAGTCCAGACAATTTAAAATTCAGAATTGAGCTGAAAATGATACTTTATGTTAAGTATAAGTAATACTTATTGAAACATTGCTAATTGTTATTTTCTTCTTTGGCATGAACTTGTGCTTTATGGTTTAACTGAAAAATAGTTTATTAACAGTTTTATACAAAAAGAAAAACAATTTTTTTGCTTAATAAATAGAATTTTTATATCTTAGATTTTATTCGCACATGTTTGTATGTGTTTAAATACATGCTTTATGCATACGCAATAGGTATATACCGATACTTGATCGAGAGCATACAGAATAAAACTTGTAAGATTTTTTTAATGATAGATATTTTGATTTAAAGTCTATTTTTCTCTATAAAAATATTCACAAAAATTATCTTTAATCACACAATTTCAATTTTTTTATCTTATGCATGTAATATTTAAATAAAAATTTTAATAAAGTAAAGCCATGAGATTTGAAATTAATTAAAATATATGGCGCTATTATATATTTATTTTTTTAATGCTTTGCAAAAAAACAACTTTTTCCAATTGCTCTTCATTCGGAAAATGTGGATATCACAATTTTTTTTAAATAGAAAATACCGATTCAGAGTTAATAAAAAAATGTATTTTTGAAAAAATGTCCGTGAACTTTAATTTATCTTATACTATATACTATATACTTTAATATTATGAGTAATTAATATGTTTTGCCAATATGACACGTGTTTTGTGTGTGTATAACGTATGGTGTGTTGTACTTACTTTTACTATCTCCACACTAATGCCAGCGTTTGATCCACTGTTGTTAATTTTAGGCGAATGTACTTTAGACGTTTGCGCCAGAAAACACACGCGTTTAGGTCTAGGTTCGAAGATTAAATTTCTATTATCAATCATGTCATCATCCATGCTTTCCAAATTATTCCAAATGAAACCTGCGTCATCTCTGTCTTTATTCCTGTTTTCTTGCATGCGTTTATCTCTTTCATCATATTTGCATTCCTCTTTGCGTTCATTAGTGCGACATCGATGTCTGCGTTCTTCTGTGTGTTCATTGCTATCATTAACTCGGTGTTCAATTCTTGATTGATTATTCTGTTCTAGTCTGCTTTCATCGAACGTTTCACGTTTTATTGGCCGCAAATGTATTGCAGTTCTATGCCTACATCTACGTTCAAAGACATTGATAGTTCTTATTATCTTATTTTTTTTCAATTATTAAGGTATATCCATATAATTAAAATTAAAAGATTAAATAAGTTGCACAAAAAATTACATTAAAAAGTAATAATTTTTTTTTACATTTTTGCTGAATTAATTATTATTAATAATTTAGATGTGTACGTAAATTAATTATAATATTATTAATATTATAAAAAAAATCAACTTACAACTCTTGTAAACAACAGCGAAAAAATACAAACATTATAATAACCGTCATTAATAATATCGAGAAGATTTTGTACTTTTTAGTTACTATGTCATAATCTTCCGTCGTATCGTTTGTTTCGCTTTCTATACTTTCATCTACATTATCTCTTGATATGTCTAAAGCAACTAGAAGAAAATCAAAATTTTGATAAATTATATTAATTGTTAGTAAACATTAAATTTTTTTACAAACTCTGATTCTAATTAATTATACTATTTCTTTAATGGCAAAAATTCCTAATTATTTATTTTTTTAGTCACTTATAAAAATTTATATTAATAAAAAATTAAACATCTTAGTAGATAAAACTTAAGCTTTTTATTAGTAGTAAAAATTAATATTACTTTGTAGTTAGAAAACAAAAATTTGTTATTAATAGACTAATTTAACAATAACTATATAGAAATCTCACATTTTCTTATGTGTAAAGTTTAAAAAGGAATCAATAAAAATTACTATATTATTTATATAGAGATTCTATGTAGAACTAATTACATAGTTACCTGTAAGAATGATTAAAGAGAAGACATATAAAAATTGCATGTCATACATTATTAATAATTCTTTAGAGAGATCTTTTTTCTTAAAAGCATAAAAAGATTTGATTACAATCTTCTTTGTTCTATTGATTGTTATTCAGACCGCAATGGTTTTTTAATTATCTGAAATCAAAATAAAATATTATGAATGTAAAAATTACAAAATAAGGAAATTACTTATCTAATAAATAAATAGTATAACTATTTATGCAAAACTTATGCAAAGAAGAGAAAATATTTCTGCAGGTTTCTAAGATACATGATTGAATTGAGGTATATATTTATCATTTAATAACATCATTTAACGTCATTTAAAAAACAATAACAGTGATACATTTTAATCAAAGATACAAAAGCAATTGGAATATATTTTAATTTGAATCTAAGTTGTATAAGAGAGAATGTTTGTTTTATAAAGTGAATTTTTGATTAAAGTATCATGACAGTAAAAAGAATGGCATAGCTCTGAGTTATAAGCTAAGAGTTATAAGACAGTTAAATAATATAAAAGAAGAAGTTTAATATAAATGAAAAGCAGTATAGAATATTTGTATATGTTACTTGACGAGGTCGCAACAACTGAAAAACTTTGAACTAAAAAATATCAATATTTATTATTTGATAATTTCCAACACATTTATCAATACTTTTGCAGTAAAAGTGACACGGAATAATCTGCAAAATATCTATTTTGCATTTATAACTTTTAACGAAAAGTATTACATAAATTGTAATGATTTCTTGAGAATATTGGCGTCAGCATATTTATGGTGAACATTTGTCCAATGCTAACTATATAGAAAATTCTCAAATACAAAATAATAAGTAATATTTGAGAAATAAATGCTGTTAAAGATATTACGGAAAATTGAGAAATAAAAAGCAATTCTTAAGGGCATTTAATAAAACATCACACATATTAACTATACTATTGTACGTAACATTTATATTTTAAGCGAAGATAAAAGTCAAAGTTATTAGTAATATATAATAATTTATAAACGATACACTACTTAACAAAATTTTTTCAAAATGATTAAAATATTAGTTAGATAAACTTACCCAATATATAAAAATCAGCGAGTAGAAGATATGAATTTATATATCTTATCAATTTGAACGTAGTCTACCTGCAATCCCTGTATATAAACCACAACTGTTAGAAATGCTCGATTCTTATAAGAGACACATACGACATTCTTGAGAATTATTGGCTTATTCGCATGAATTGTATTGATTGTCGCTATCATAGAAAGTCTTTCAAATCTCTTTCAAATCATCAGTATCAAACATTTATAAAATCGTATATTGTATGACACGTACTTTTTGTAGCTAGAATTTTGAAATTATGTACTTCTGTATTTGCATTTTTTTAACCATTAAAACATTTTTTTATGTTTGGAAGAAATAGATGCACCATCCGTTTTTATTGACGCTACTGCATATAAAAAAAAGAAATCTGATTTATTACAACTCTGTACAAGTAGAGATCACCGATTATTTTTTCTTTTGTATAAGTTTCTTCAAATGTATTTTTTGTATGTTTTTTTACATATTAAGTTTTTGTCTAAATCTGTTCTCTACTAATATATATTAAGTATTCATAATTAATAGTGTAAAACACATTTTGATGAAAAGAATGAAATGCCATTTAATTTGATTTGTATAATATAATTCTTTTTAATACAATTAATAAATTTACAGTTATGTATTTCCTTTCAATGTAATTTGAGTAAATCGCTTTTACAAATGTAATAATAACCAAACTATAATATATAAATAGATGGAAAAAAATTAAAATTTATTTTGTTGACAGAATAGATAAATTTTGTTGAGCATCTTGTTTGTTCTTGTGTTAAAAAATTGTTAAAATGACTTTAATATATAGACAATAATTTTAATTCAAATATGTTACAGAGATTTCAAAATGTATTATTTCTTTAAAATAAAAATGCAAATTTATTTTTTCTGTCAAGTTATTGATTTTTATTATTATAAAAATTTACCAAACAATAAAAATAAATAAAAAACGAAATATTTTAAGACCAGTAATAAACGTTTTTTATAGAATTATAATGTTATAATTGTTCAAATAGAATGTATATAATAATTTATATATATATATGTATAAATTGAATTATATATAAATTTATATACTAAGTTATACATATTGTGTTAAACTATATATGTGAATATACACACACACACACACATTTATATAAAATTTAATATATGAATATTATAAATATATTTATATATGTATACAATTTATATATACATATATATACAATAAATAAATATATATATATATACAATTATACATTATATATACAATATATATATATATATATACATATATAAAATTATTATAATATAATAAGATTAAAATTAAATAGAAATACAAATAACTTGTAACCAATAAAAATTTTACATTTTTTTTTTTTTTTTTTGAAAACTTGTAATAACTAAATTTTTAACAACAGAGAAATGATAAACAGCAGAAACTGTTGCAATAATTGTGCGATCTTACTGTTAGTGATTTCCTAATCAGTAGAAGTTTTATTACAATATTGCAAAAGCGACATGTAATAGTTTACTTGATTGATTTGTAGTAGCCTTTTTTATCATTATTAAATCGTCAATTTGTCTAAAAGATATTTTATCTTATAACTAATTTGCATATGTTTCGACAAAACATACATAGTCTGGACAATTTAAAATAAAAAATTGTGTTAAATATGATACTACAATGCTACAAGTAATTGTTCAGTTCTCATAAGAGACATACTCGATGTTCTTAATAATAATTTACTCCTTCGAATCATTCATTGTCGCTATCATAGAAAGTTTCTTTCAGCGTCAGATATTTATAAAATCTTACTATTGCACTGTATGATGTTTACTTTTTTTAGTTAAAATTTTGAAATCAGGTTCTTACGTATTTGCATTCATTTAGCCATTTTTAAATTTTTCTAATACTTATCTAAACATCTCTAATTATCTTCATCTTCTGCATGAACTTCAGCTGTCACCTGAAAAATAATTCAGAACAGTTTTTTAGAATAAAAATAGTTTCTTGCTTAACGGATAAAACTTTTATATGATAGATTTTATTGTCGCATATGATAGATTTTATTGTCGCATATGATAGATTTTATTGTCGCATATTAGTATTCAGTATATACTTTGTGTGTATGTACAAATGCATACTCGATCCGAAGCACACAGAATAGAACTCGCAAAAATTTTGTCAATGACAGATATTTTGATTAGTATAAAGACTATTTTTTTCGTAGAGGTATTTACAAAAATGAACATTAACCATATTATTTCTATTTTTTGTCTTATGTATGAAATATTCAAATAGAAATTTTAACAAAATAAAGCGATAAAATTTGAAATTAATTGGAGAAAATGACGCTGTTATATATTCATTTTTCAAACATGTTCTTTTTTGCAAAGAAATCATCTTTAATTGCTTATAATTCGAAAAAGTTGGATACTACAAAATTTTAATAAAAAATACCGGCTTAGAGTTAATCAGAACTATTTTTGAATGAATATTGTTGAACTTTACTGCTACACTGTAAGTAATACATATATTGTTTTGTTAATATAACACATATTCCGCATATAACATATTTTGTATTGTACTTACTTTCAATACTTTTACACTAAAGTCAGGACTATTAGATCGACTGTTACTATAACCAAGCAAGCTTCTGGTAGGCTTCTGGATAGTTCTTGAAGACATATCTTTGATATATTCAGGCATGCTTTTTGTCTACAAAATTTTTTAATAAAAAATACCGGCTTAGCATTAATCTATCAGATCTATTTTTGAAAGAATGTCTTTGAATTTTAAGATATTCTATATATATTGCTAAACTTTAAATAATAGATTGTTTTTCAGTATAACACATATTCCGTGTATAACATATTATGTATATTATACGTACTTTTCTTATTTTTTCACTATCAGATCTATCAGATTGACTACTACTAGCACCAGGCAAATATCTTGTAAGGCGTTCAGGCAGGCTGTTTGATTTTGGAATTAGCTGGACATGTCTAGCTCTGTCTCTGTGAATATTCACACTTGGTTCTATAAATTCATTCGAATAATTTTCATCTCTATATACACTCAAATCGCTAAAATTTGTGCAATTCCACTGTTCATCTTCGTTTCTATTTCTGCGATTACGTAGTATTTCGCTAATATATATTGTGTCGCTTCCAATACGCGATATTCTCGGTAGTAACATTTCTTGTCCGATATCCGAGACTAAACGTCTGCGTAACCACAAGTGTCTGATTGGCCACTTTTTCCTACGTTCAAATACGTATTATTAATTATTATTATCTTAATTTTATTAAATCACCAAAGTATACACTAGTAAAAGTGTTTAATTGAAAACACCAAATTTTTGTTATACTGTGACAAAAATATTTGGTTAGAATATGCTCAATTAAATTTATTTAGTTATCCTAAACAAATGTCTTTGTGAGTAACATTTTGTCTTATAGCTTCTTCCCTTGATATACAATTAAAAGATATTACCAAAACAAATTTTATTAATTTAAACAAATCTGTTTTGTTGTATTAATTTTGCTTTATTAACTCAACTAATTTGTTGTATGTATTTTTATAAGTGGAATATTAATCCTAACCCTAGAGAAATGACAGGTCGAGGAGACGTATATTACATACCTAATTAAGCATCTAATACATATTTTTTGGCTTGTGTTTCTCACTGGAAATCTTATTTTGCTTTTGAAAACTAACTTTATTAACTGGTTCGTGTGAATTAAATGTAAAATATCAATTTTATTGAAAATTTTCTAATTAAATTATTTGGTCAAGACAGAATGTAAAATTTATATTAATCAGAACAACTACATCTTTTACAATATGAAACAATATTTGGTCGCTATGAACGAAAGCTTCAACTATAAAATTTTGTTAACATTAAATTTTTTTAAATGTCTAATTAAAATATAAAAAATTAAATAAAATTTAAATAAGATTGTATAAAAATTAAATTGAAAATAAATAACTTTTTATCAACGTTTTTTGAATTAACTATAAATTATTTAGATGCATGCGTAAATTAATTATAATATTATTAATATGACAAAAGAAATCAACTTACCACAGTATCCTTAATTTCACACCAATCCAATAAAAAGCTCCGGAAATTAATAATATTCCAAGTAACATTAATAGATATTCACCAAAAGCTTTAAGAATATTCACATTGATGTTGTAATTGGATTCGGAAATGTCCTCTGTTTTTACATCATAATTTTTTGTTGTATTGTGTGTATTGTTTTCTTTATCCGTATTCACATAAGTAATCTTTGATACGGTTAAAACGACTACAAAAAATATAAATTATGATCAATTATGTTAAGTATTAATGCCTTAAAATTTGTTTAGAAACATAAATTTTATTTAACTACATTACTTTTTTATGATAAACATTTATTGTTGAAAAATTTATTTAAATACATATAGGTACATTTATTATTGAAAAACTAAACATTTTAATGGATGGAAGCTGTTTTGAGTAGAAATTAAAATATTTATTGATAGTAAAAATTGTTATACATTAATAAACTCACTCATAAATTCATAATTAAGTTAAATAATATTTAAGAAAATTATGATTTACATATTTTATATATATTTACTATATCTTTGTTTTAGATAGATTTAAATTATATATAAGAAACCATAATTATTTTAATTATTCTTTCTTTGACTATTTTTGTACTAGTACAAAATCAGTACTAGTACTACTACAATATCAGTGAATTGTTAAAAGTTACAAATATTCAAAAAATAAAACAGTAGACTTAATTGTACTGAAAGTACAAAGTAATATAAATCAATTAATTATTAAAAATTTATGACATATTATTTTACTGATTTGTGATTTCATTAAATGTAGAGTATCTTAAAAATAATAAGAATAATTTCTATACGTGCATGGACCACAAAATTAAAATTATTGGTAAGTGATGCAACCTTATGATACAATTATGTAGATTTTCTTTTTGGAATAAGAAATTAATATTGAATTAAAAATTAACGGCTAATTCATAATAATGCTTAAAAAAAAGTCAATAAAACGAACTATGTCATGTAGAAATTTATGTAAATAAAAACACATTGTTACCTGAAAATAAAATTATAAGAGTAATAATGTATAATATTTGCAACTTGTAATGCATTGCTAATTATTGCTTATATCGCTTCTCCTACAAACTTAAGAAGAAATGATTATGATGTTTTTTGTCCTGATTGTTAGTATTACAATGACGTTTTATGTAGCTGAAACAAGAACCAACCATTGTAAATATGAATATCGAGAAATAAGAAAAATTATTTATCTAGTATGACTCTAATTTACGCAAAAGGGAAAAAATATTTCCGATTCGTAATTGCATTGAGATATACGTTTATTATTTCGTATAAAACACAATAACATTGATACATTTTAAACAGAGATACAAAAGCAATTAGAATTAATTTTAATTTGTGTTTAGATTATATAAGTGTTCGGTTTATGAAGCGAATTTTTATTAAAATATGATTATTGGTTGTCAATGAAGCAAATGTTGCAGCTTTGAGTTACAGTAAGATTGAAATTAAGTAATTACAAGATGAAATTTAACTTACATACGAAAAACGGTTAAATGTTTGTATATGTTACTTGACAAGGTCGTAATAACTAAAAACTTTGAAAATATTACTATAAATTAAAAATATTAATCTAAATTATTCGATAATTTTGCACACATTAATAATTTTAACACGGAATAGTCTTATATATATTTCTTGTACTAATAATTATTAATTAAGAAATATTATATAGATTGTAATAATTTTTTGAGAATATGAATGTTACTATTAACTTTCTGGTAAATAATTGTCCAGTGTTAGCTTTATGACGCAGGAAATGATAATGACACAATATTACAATATAGCAAATCGTCAAATTCGAAATAAGAAGTAATATTTAATACATAAAAGCTGTTATTACGATTAATTGAGAAAGAAATAGCAAATCTTGAGAACATTCAATGTAACGTTTCGTCACACATATTAACTATATTATTGTACATGACATTTATATATATAATTTACGTGATATTAAAATTCAAAGTTTTTAGTAACATTATAATTCAAAAGCGATATATTACATAAAGAAGAGTTTCTCAAAGTGATTAAGACATTAGTGGACAAATCTACTAGATATATAAATTAGTGTGTGGAAGATATCAGTTTACATACCTTTGAGTTCAGTCTACCTCTGCGATCTCTGTACATATACACAACAGTAAGAAATGTTCGGTTCTTATAAGAGATACACACGATATCCGTAAGAATAATTGGCTCATTCGCATGAATTGTATTGATTGTCGCTTTCATAGAAAGTTTCTTTCAGTATCAGACATTTATAAAATCGTTATATTGTATGACACGTACTTTTTTTAGCTAAAATTTTGAAATTATGTACTTCCGTATTTGCATTTTTTTAACCATTAAAACATTTTTTTATGTTTGGAAGAAATAGATGCACGATCCGTTTTCATTGACGCTACTGCATATAAAAAAAAGAAATCTGATTTATGACAACTCTGTACAAGTAGAGATCACCGATTATTTTTTCTTTTGTATAAGTTTTTTTAAATGTATTTTTTGTATGTTTTTTTTACATATTAAGTTTTGTAATTGCGATTTTGTCTAAATCTGTTCTATACTAATATATGTTAAGTATTCATAATTATTAGTGTAAAATACATTTTGATGAAAAGAATAAAATGCCATTTAATTTGATTTGTATAATATAATTCTTTTTAATACATTTAATAAATTTACATTTATGTATTTCCTTTTAATTTAATTTGAGTAAATCGCTTTTACAAATGTAATAATAACCAAACTATAATATATAAATAGATAGAAAAAAATGCATAATCAAAATTTATTTTGTTGACAGAATACATAAATTTTGTTGAGCATCCTGTTTGTTCTTGTGTTAAAAAATTGTTTTCTGTTAAAATGACTTTAATTACATAAAGACAATAATTTTATATCAAATATATTACAGAGATTTCAAAACGTATTTTTTTTTCAAAATAGAAATGCAAATTTATTTCTTTTTTCAAGTTATTGATTTTTATTATTATAAAAATTTACCAAACAATAAAAATAAATAAAAAACGAAATATCTTAAGACCACTAGTAAACGTCTTTTATAGAATTATAATGTTATAATTATTAAAATAGAATGTATATAATAATTTATATATACATGTATATAAATTAAATTATATATAAATTTATATATTAAATTATACATATATGTATTAAACTATATGTGTGAATACACACACATACACACACACACACATATATAAAATTTAATATATAAATATTATAAACATAGTTATATATTTATACAATTTATATATACATATATATACAATATGTATATATATATATATATATACAATTATACATTATATATACTATATATATATACATATATAAATTATTATAATATAAACTAAAATTTAAAATTAAATAAGAAATAAC